TAGAAGCAACTTAGTCAACCCTAGTATGAAATATATTTTTATGTTTTTCTAAGAGGAGGAATATCTTGTATCTTTTCTCATGGGAAGCAAATTGTGTGGCATAGTAGCTAGAGAGGCTTGGAATCAGTAAAATTTCTATTTTAGCCTTACCTCTGACACCTACTGAGTCTGTGATCCAAGCAAATCACTTAACCTATGTTTGCCCCAGGTAGTATTCTGAGACTTTTTTTTTTGGTAGAAGCAGTTTGGAGTAGTGGACAGAGTGCTGAACTTGGAGTCTGTAAGACCTGGGAACAAAACCCACCTCAGATACTAGCTGTGTGACCATAGACAAATAACCTCTTTGGCCTTGGTTTCTTCATCTGTGAAATGAAGAGATTGTACTCAATGGCCTGTAAGGTTCCTTCCAGCTCCAATTTCTATGATGAATGGATGCATGAATGAATGAAAAAAGCATTTATTAAGCACTATGTGCAAAGGACATAAATAGCAAGACAAATAGAAATGAAATACAAATAGACATGCTACCAATGGAAATGAAAGTAGCAATCTCTGTCTTCAAGAAGTTTATATTCTAATGTGGAAGACAACAGATATAAGAGGTTTCAGCCTCAAGTCAGATGGAAAGGTTCTATGGTCCTTAGGGTTCAGCAGTAGAGGAGATGGTCATGTATCTTCTTTAATTCCGTTTCAGCTGATAACATCATACCCATTTCCTGTGATTTGATCCTGTGATCTTATGATTATAAGTTAGAGAGCACTTGCTGGTCTGCAATGGTTGAGTTTCCTCACAGGGAATTCTTTATACCAATGAAACCACATTGAATAAACCCTGCACAAGCATTTATTAAGCACCTACTAGGTGCAAAGGAGGCATTATGCTAGGCTTTGGGGATATAAAGATAAAAAATGACACAGTGACTCCTTAAGGAGATTATATTCTACCTGCAGGGATAAGCTGTCTACACTATAAATATAAGCCAAATGAGAAGAGAGGAGGGAATATGGAAGTGATACAGTCAGAGCTCCCCAGGAATATTTGAGGAGGGATAAGGGGTAGCTAGGTGGTGCAGTGGATAGAACACTGGCCTTGCAGTCAGGAGGACCTGAGTTCAAATGTGGCCGCAGACACATTACACTCACTAGCTGTGTGACCTTGGGCAAGTCACTTAACCCCAATTGCCTCACTAAAAAGCAGAAAAAAAAAAGATTTGAGGAGGGAGAAGACCTTTGTCAACCAAGGGAAATCAGGAGTTGGTGGTTGAACTGAATCTTGGAGAAAGGATTCTGAAAAGTGTAAGTGAGAGGAGAGCGTTCTAGGTAAGAGGGAGGGTTGGGATTGAGGCTTGATGGCGAAAGATAGACTTTTGAGGTTAAGGAATAGCTAGAAATCCAAGCTGGCTGAGGGATCAGTGTGAACAAAGACTAGGAGAATGCTTGGAGTCAGACTGTGTTAAATGCCAGTGCATCCTGTGCAGACAATAGGGAGCAGGCGTTGGACAAGGCAGGAGAGGCAAGAGATGGTGAGGGCCTTGAGCTAGCATGGTGGCATGTGAGTGGAGGGAAGAAAAGCTGTGGAGGTAAAGTGAACAGGGCTTGGTGACTGCATTTGACAAGGGGGTGCTGCAGTGATGGAGAGCAAAGAGCCAAAGGTGTCCTCAATCTGGTAACTAGGGGAAAAAAAAGAGGTAATACTGTTATCAATGTAACAGAAATGCAGAGATCAGGAGGAAGGGAAGCTTTAGTTTAAGGCTTCTTAATATTTTTTTTTGTGTGTTGTGAACTCTTTTGGCAGTTTGGTAAAGCATAGAACCATTCTCAGAATACTGTTTTTAAATTCATAAAATAATATACATAGGATTACAAATGAAACCAACTATATTAAAATACAATTGTCAAAGTATTATTACAAAAACAAGTTTTGGACTCCAGGTTAAGAACCTTTGATTTTTTTTTTTTAGGGGCAGGGAAAGATGATTAGTTCATCTTTCTCTCAATGGAAGTTTGACCCTGCCCCTGAGGCCCTGGTCTCAGACAGGAGAGATGTTACTTTATCTTTCTCAGAACCCAGGCCATCTTGCACTTTTCAGCCATTTCTAAACAAAGCTGTTGTATGTTGGAACATTTCCCTCTTCCACCCCTACTTCTAAACCTGAACTTTATGTGTTGTCTTCCAATATTAGAGTGTAAGAGCTGGCCCCAAAGTCAGAAGGATAGGGGCACAAGGCTTACCTCTGCCATAGACTTAACTGTGTGACTATAGGCAAATCTAGAGGTGGGGAACCTGTGACCTCAAGGCCAGATGTGGCCCTCCAGGTCCTCAAGTTCGGCCCTTTGACCCCACCCCTGGGCAAGTCTCTTAATCCCTCAGTGTCCTAGCCAGCGCTTCTTCAACTGTGAGTTGTGACCTTATATGGGGTTGCGAAAAATTTGGCAACAGTAACAGATTTCTGAACGCGAAATGACCAAAAATTAATTAAAAAACAAACACATAATGATTCTGAAGTGTTTCTGACAGTGCTTGCCTGTATTGCATCCTACAACTTCACTGCAGCCTTGGTTCTGAACACAAAGCACGTGCACTTTGCACTGTGCATGTTCTCAGGCCATGCAACTCCAACAAACACCACAGAAATGGGAAAAGGAAAAGGGGTCTCCAGTGGAAAAAGTTTAAGAAGCCATGCTCTAGGCAACTTCCTAAGACTAAGTGTAGAGAAACTTTTGACCTACCAGGTTTACTCACCTGGGAGTTCCCTATACCAAGGAAATTATGGGTTCTAGTCCCTATTTCTATGCCTAGCTGTGACCTAGGACCATTTTGGTAATATCTCTGCGATGGAGGCTCCAGGAACACAGAGCTGCAATGCTCTCAGACTAAACATACTTCTCCTTTCCTGTATCCTTTGCCCAAGGGTGTTTCTGGGGTTTTAGTGTTGATATTGACCTGATGACATTTGCTAAACTTACAATTGATCCACTTTATTCCTTTCTCAACAGAGAAATAATCTCTTAGAAAAAAAACAAACCATGCATTTAATTTGCTTAAAAAAAAACAAAACAGTAGACATGGTTGATTTCAACCCGTATCTGTTGGGTTTTCCTAAAGACTTCACAGATTTCTGGTTCAGGCAAAGTGACTTCTGTATGTACAACCTGTCAGCTGTAGATATAACTCTTTTAAAGTCTGCTGAATAGTATGAACATTTTGCCTCTTTCTATGGCCAGAATCTAAAACTGATTTTTTGGGGGGAAGAGAGGGATATTAGAATGTCTCATTTTTTAAAATTCTCCCTCTGTGATAGTCCAAAAAAACCTGGTGGGCCATTCCGAGACCAGTAAGACTCACTTGTAGCAAGCATACCACTGGACACCAGGCATATCAGCATAAGATGACATAGCTCTTGAAGATCCAGAAAAGAAAGGTCTCACTATTCAATTTTTTTGGCACTGTCAGATGGCTTGTCAGACATGATTTTATCCACCTTCTACCTTCTGTAGTTTCCTTCAAGTCCCTAAGGTATATGGGGTGTTCATAGAGCATTAGCACCTATGGTATGAGAACTTGCCAGGCCCTTTTAAGAGTTGCTTATCCATCTTTGTTGTCCACCTGTCACCTAACTCTCACCTGTGGCTCCAAGAAGCTGTAGCATGTGAAGTGGTCACAGTCCAGTGGCTGTGACCATCTTGGCAAGACAGGCTTAACTAGTTTGAGGGTAACTGAGGGGTTTCAAACTGTCAGTGAGTTAGGGGGATGTCTATCTCAAGCATGTGAAGACTTCCCCCAAGGAATGGGTAGATGAGAACAATTTGTTCCAATGCCCGTGAAGGTGGCTGAAGTAGGTGTTACGGAGTGCTTAGAGCTTGGTCAGATATGGAAGATGTCAAGGTCATCCACTGCATGTCAGGCCATCACCAGTTGTTTTGATTTTGTCTTGCTGCTGGAAGAGAGTGAGGCTGATGATTTTGTGCATCTCTGCCTCACTTAAATCCAATTCACAAGCAAGTCCAGACATCACCCTCTGATGTCAATGGTCCTCTTGGAAAATGAAGGATGAACAGCCAACCTCAAGACCCACTAAAATCTTCCCCTCTGCAGGAAGACTTTTTTGATTGCTCTTCATTCTAGTGCCTTTCCTCTATTGATTATTACTTCCTATTTACTTTGTATATATCATGTGTGTACATAGTTGTTTGCATGTTGTCTCCCCCGTTAGATTGTAAGCTTCTTGTGGGTAGAGACTGCCTTTTGTCTTCCTTTATACCACCAGTGCTTAGCATAGTGCCTGGCACATAGTAGGCATTTAATTATTGGTTGATAATGGACATGACACTAATGAATTACTATCTGTTTTGCTGCTGTACCCTAAAGCCCACTAGGCCTTTCCAATTGCCTTGCTACTGAATCCTCCTGTATGGGCTATGCTGTCTTTCCTGATTAGAATGTGAATTTAAAATCTAGTCCTTGGTACATAGAAAGCACTTAATAAATGCTTTTTTCTTTTCTTCTTTCCTTCCTATCTCCTCTTTTTGCTTAACACTCATTACATTTTTAAGGGACAACTTACACACCCCATGATTTTACTCCTTGCTTGATTCAACTAGGCTTTCTGTGGCCAAGACATAACATCTCTTTCCCTGTCTATGCCATTGGAGATGGAAAATCAAACAGATTCATCTGAGCGAGAAACTGTTTCATGACATAGTAGACAGACTACTGGACTTGGAGTCGGGAAGACCTGAGTTTGAATCCTTCCTCAGATAGCAGTGAGAACCTAGGCAGGATACTTTTCCGAGCCTCAGTTTTGTCCTTTCTAAAATGAGAGTTTTTATTCAATGGCTTCTAAGGACTCTTCTGACTTTAATTTTTTTTGGAAAATTTTTAAATTTTTTTTTTTGGTAAGAAACCAATGTTTATTTTCCATCAGCATTTTCCCAACACTATTAGAGAACGTGGATTAAACTTAAGACCATTCTGTGGCAGTTCCCCCCCACTCAGTGGCCTAAGCAGTAGGAGCCGCAGACCAGTCCTCTGGAGCAGGCTGAGCACTTTGACCTTCGGTAGGGAACTGCTGAATGGGCACAGATGGCACCTGTACTCCCTGAGACCAATCAGCCACGTCCGGTTGAGTAGCAGTGAATGCTGGGGCAGGTGCAGTCCATTCACCCTGAAACTCCTCCTTTGTCACTGCCTTCTCAGCTACAGCCTGCTCTTCCTTTTCAATCTCCTCTGGATCCCTGTAGAAGTAAAGATCAGGCATGACCTCACATGGGTGTTCATGGGAGATGGTACTACACATACGGAGGACTTCACGGGTCAGCATCCACCACATCAGACCCACTGAGTGAGCTCCCTTGTTGTTACATGGAATGGCAATGTCCACATAGTGAAGTGGGGAGTCTGTGTTGCACAATGCAGTGGTTGGAAGGTTAATGTCAGATGCTTCGGTAAGAGGCTGGTGATCTGTCCGAGGATCAGTGACCACCAAGAGGCGAGGCTCCCTGAAAGCTGCCTGGATCGGGTTAGCGAAGGTGCCCGGTGTGAAATGTCCAGCAACAGATGTGGCGCCAGTGGCAGCAGCAAATTTCAGAACAGCTCGCTGGCCAGTGTTCCTGGATGAGATGACACCAACATCAGCTGGATTTTCAATGACAACAATGGCACAAGCTGCCAGCAGAAGCTTTTCTGAAGTTCTCTTCAAATTGATGATGCAGATGCCGTCACTCTTTCTTTTGTAGATATACTGTTTCATCTGGAAGTCCAAATTCGTGCCACCCAAATGGGTTCCTGCAGCAAGGAATTTGAGGACATCCTCCTCTTTCATCTGCAAGATATCTAGGGCTCCAGACATTGTAAAAGTTTCCCTTTAAAGTTATGATGGAAATCAAGAACAAGGCCGTATGGAACCCTTTATGGGACAGTGAGGAAAAAAAAAGAAATGTTTATATTTTTTAAAATTATATGTACAAAATTTTCAACATTAATTTTTTGGAAAAAATTTTCTCCCTTCCTTCCCTCCCCTCATTGAGAAGGTAGGCAATTTTATATAGATTATACATGTGCAATCATGCTAAACATATTTCCATATTAGCCATGTTGTGAAAGAAAACACAGATAAAAAACAAGAAAAATAAAGTAAAAAATATTCTTTGATCTGAATTTAACTCCATCAGTTCTTTCTCTGGAGGTGGATAGCATTTTTCATCATGAGTTCTTTGGAATTGTCTTGGATTGTTGTATTGTTGAGGATTGCTAAGTCATTCACAGTTGATCATTGTACAGTAGCACTGTTCCTGGCCCTTCTCACATCACTTTGCATTGGTTTATATATGTTTTTCCAGCATGCTGCTTGTCATTTCTTATAGCACAATAACATTCCATCACATTCATATACCACAACTTGTTCAGCTATTCCTCAATTGATGGGCATCTCCTCAGTTTCCAATTCTTTGCCTCCACAAAAAAGAGTGGCTATACTAATAGATCCTTTTCCTTTTTTTTAAAAAAATCTCTTTAGGATATAGACATAGTAGTGGTATCACTAGGTCAAAGGGTATGAACAGTTTTATAGCCTTTTGGACATAGTTCCAAATAGTTCTCTAGAAATGGTTGGCTCTATTGACAACTCCACCAACAGTGCTTTAGTGTCCCAATTTTTCTACATCTCCTCTAACATTTGTCATTTTCCTGTTCTGTCACATTAGCCAATCTGAGAGGTGTGAGGTGGGACTCAAAATTGTTTTAATTTGCATTTCTCTAATAGATAGAGATTTAGAGTATTTCTTATGTGACTATAGTTAGCTTTGATTTCTTTGTCTGAAAACTGCCTGTTCATATCCTTTGACCATTTATCAGTTGGGGAATGACTTGTGTTCTTATAAATTTGTCTCAGTTCTCCATATATTTGATAAATGAAGCCTTTATCAGAGAAATTGGCTGTAAAAAAATTCCTGCAGTTTTCTGCTTTCCTTCTAATCTTGGTTGCTTTGGTTTGGTTTGTACAAAACCTTTTAATTTGATGTAATCAAAGTTATTTTTATTTCCAATAATATTGTCTCTTGTTCGGTCATAAATTCTTCCCTTATCCATAAACCTGACAGGTACGATATTCCATGCTCCCCTAATTTACTTATGATATCACCCTTTATATCTAAATCATGTATCCATTTTGACCTTATCTTGGTATACAGTGTGAAATGTTTGTCTATACCTAATTTCTGCCAAACTGCTTTCCCTGCAATTTTTTTTTGGTCACAAAATGAGTTCTTGTCCCCAAAACTTGGATCTTTGAATTTATAAAACTCTAGATTAGTTTGGTCATTTACTGTTGTGTATTGTGTACCTATCCACCACTCTGTTTCTTTGCTAGTACCAGATTGTTTTAGGGATTACCACTTTGTAATACAGTTTGAGATACTGCTAGATTCATTTTTTTTATCATTGATTCCTTTGATATTCTTGACCTTTTGCTCTTCCAGATGAATTTTGCTATGATTTTTCTAGCTTTATAAAATAATATAGTTTGATGGTATGACACCAAATAAGTAAATTAATATATGTAGAATTATTGTTTTATTGTATTTCTCCAATTGTTTAGATCTGACTTTATTTGTGTGAAAAGTTTTGTATTATGTTCATATAGTTCTTGGGTTTGTTTTGTCAGGTAGACTCCCAAGAATTTTATATTGTCTACAATTATTTTAAATTGAAATTCTCTTTTGATGTCTTCTTGCTGGACTTTGTTGGCAATATGTAGAAATTCTGATGGTTTACGTGGGTTCATTTTATATCCTGCAACTTTGCTAAAGTTAATTATTTCAACTAGTTTTTTAGTTGATATTCTAAGTATACCATGGTATCATCTGCAAAGAGTGATAGTTTTGTTTCCTTATTGCCTATTTTAATTCCTTCAGTTTCTTTTTCTTCTCTTTTTGCTATAGCTAGCATTTCTAGTAAAATACTGAATAATAGTGGTGATAATGGGCATCTTTGCTTTACCCTAATCTTATTGGGAAGGCATCTAGCTTAACCTCATTATAGATAATGCTTGCTGATGGTTTTAGATTCACTACTTATCATTTTAAAGAAAGATTCATGTATTCCTATGCTCTCTAGTGTTTTTAATAGGAATGGGTGCTGTACTTTGTCAAAAGCTATTTTCTGTATCTATTGAGATAACCACATGATTTCTGTTGGTTTTCTTATTAATATGATCAATTATGCTGATAGTTTTCCTAATATTGAGCCAACACTGCACTCCTGGTATAAATTCCACCTAGTCATAGTGTATGATCTTTGTGATATATTGTTGTAATCTCTTTGCTAGTATTTTATTTAAATTTTTGCATCAATATGCATTAGGAGAATTAGTTTATAGATTTCTTCCTCTGTTTTTGCTCTTTTTGGTTTAGGTATGAGCACCATATTTGTGTCATAAAAGGAATTTGGTAGGACTCCTTTCCCTATTCTTCTGAATAGTTTAAATAGTAATGGAGTTAATTGTGCTTAAAATGTTTGGTAGAATTCACCTGCAAATCAATCTGGTCCAGGGTATTTTTCATTAAGGAGCTGACTGATGGCTTGTTCAATTTCTTTTTCTAAGATATGGTTATTTAAATATTCTATTTCTTCTTCTGTTAATCTGGGCAATTTATATTTTTTGTAAATATTCATGAGTGTATGTTTTCACTTTCTATTTTACCCTCTGATTCTTGGATATCAGAACAATTTTCTTTGAATTTCTTGAAATATGATGTCTGGCCTCTTTTTTTTTTTTAATCGTGGCTTTCAGGTAGTCCAATGATTCTTAAATTTTCTCTCCTCAATCTATTTTCCAGGTCAGGTGTTTTTCCAATGAGATATTTCACATTGTCTTCTATTTTTCATTCTTTTGATTTAGTTTTATTGTTTTCTTAGGTGTCATGGAGTCATTAGCTTCCACTTGCCCAATTCTAATTTTTAAGGAATTATTTTTTTCAATAAGCTTTTGTACCTTTTTTTTCCATTTGGACAATTCTGATTTTTGAGGAATTCTTTTTTTCATGAATTTTTGTACCTCTTTTACCATTTAGCCAGTTCTGTTTTTTAAGGTGTTATTTTATTTTGTATTTTTTGTGCCTCTTTTACCAAGTTGTTGATTCTTTCATTAATTTTCTTGTATCACTGTCATTTCTTTTCTCAATTTTTCTCTACCTCTCCTATTTGATCTTTAAAATCATTTTTGAGTTTTTCCAGCTATTCTTTTTTTTTTTTGAGGCCTGTGACCAATTCACATTTTTCTTTGAAGCTTTGAATATAGCTGTTTTGGCTTCGTTGTCTTCTTCTGAGTTTGTGTCTTGATCTTCTCTGTCACTGTAGTAATTTGTTATGGTCAGGTTCTTTTTGTTGTTGTTGTTCATTTTCCAGTCTATTTCTTGACTTTTAACTTTATGTTAAAGTTGTGCTCTGCTCCTGTAGTGAAAGAACCATTGTCCCAAACTTCAAGTTTTTCATGCTGCTGTTTTCAGTGTTAGTTCTTGAGGTATGTGAGTTTTTGGTTCTTCCAAGGTGGTATAATCTAAGGAGAGGTATGATCACTGCTCTCCTGGCCTGTGCCCTGGTCTTTGAGCAACTGCAAGCCCTGGAACTGTGACCAGAGCCCTCACTCTCCTGCAGCCTCAAGCTCTGGTGTGTGCTAATGCTCCTTCTTATTCTGGAACTGTGACTCAGAACGGTGTATGGGCAACACAACAGGGTCCTGCACTCAGTCCCAGCAAAGGGTCCCCTATGATCTCCTTCACGACAACCTGCTGGTCTGTGTTAACCAGACCAGCACCTTGGTGAGACAGACTTTTTCTGCTGACCTCCTAAATTGTCTCAGGTTGGAAAATTATTTAACCCCAATATTTTGTTGTTTGGAGGGGAATTTGAGAGAGCTCAGGTGAGTCTCCGCCTTTACCCCACCATCTTGACTTTGCCTCTTGGAAGATCCTGGCTTTAAATCTTAGAACTTATTATCCTGTAGCCCTCCTCCTGAAAACCATAGTAGACTTTACTTGCCTCAGTACACTACCTTGTGAAGGAGACTGTAGCCTAGGAGCATACCATCTAGAAAGAGGGAAGGGAAGCTCCTTAGAGCTATGCATCTTAGCATCTCAAGGCAGCCTCTGTGAAGAAGCATTGCTGCCTCCTTCCTCCCTTCTCTCTGCCTGCCTCTGCTGGAAGACCAACCCTCCTTGCAGTCAATCAGTCCTTCTAGTTGCCTTCTTCCCATCTTGCCTCAGCAACTCCAGGCTTTTTCTGCTGGGGAGTGGGGGAGCAGGGGGTTCATTTTTGACTTTCAGCCTAAATGATTTAAAATGAGCTGTAATAGAGGGTTATTGCTTTATACATTGCTGGTCATTGATTTCCTTTTGTGAAACCCCTTTAATGTATGTATGTATATCTATATATCTATATATGTATGTGTGTGTGTGTATATATATATATGTACGTATGTACACACACACACACATATATATTTCTGAGAAGTTTCTCTTTAGAAGCTGTAAAATGGGGATAGGGGTATGGGAAGAGGTTCAGTGAAAGCTGGGCTGGTAAAATCTGACAAGCAGAGAAGTATCTAAATGGTAGTCTTGTTCCAAGAGGAATGATTGTCATAAACTAGTTTTCTTGGGTGTTAATATTGGAGTAGTGTTTATAACTATTGCACTTCATGGTTGCATCAAATTCACACTCAAAATAACTGAAGGAGAAGGAAGAGTGGAAGGAAAATTGGAGAGAAGCCTTTTATGACCTCTTCCATCTCTTTTTCTGGTTAAGGTACTGTGGCAAAACCTTCTCAGAGTAGAATGTCTTGTTACAAAAAGCTCT